GGTCGAGTTTCCTCTACTAAAGTAATCTCTCCATTCTGAAGGATGCCCTTTTTCCAGAATGCTTTTGCTTTTTGATTTAATTCTTATCGAATGACCAGAGAGAAGTAAAGTATTCGTATACTTGGCAGTAGTATCAGTGGGATTCGCTGTTCAAGTAGTGAAATCATATTTTGCCTTCCCATAATTTGACGTCTGAGGAGTCAAGTACGACGAAATACGGATAAAGGCAATAGGCGTCGGGCCACATGTACTTAATTGAACACTGAGTAGGCAACTTACCAAAACAATTCCGTCACCATGTAGCTCAGAACGGAGACAATGTCAAAACACGCCGGCGGTTGAAGGAGGACAGGATGGTCACCCACTTGCTGGCGCTTAATACTCTACGCAACAACCTGAACTGGCTTTAAAATCTGCGTCACCGGTCCTGCAAAAAAGCGACCGGCAGCCGACCACCTAAGCGTCGGCATGGAACCTCACCTGAAATCAGCATTGACAAACACGTTTCTAACCACCGATAGCCTTACCTGCTTGTATATCAATGCACAAGGTCTACTCAGTTAGCGCTCCGAACTTCGTATTCGTCAACTCTTCACTCCTCGGGACCTAGTTATGCTCACCGAAACATGGCTGAACACGGAGATCGCCGATGTTAAGATTGCTCTACCCGGCATGACTTCGAATCAAAACGATCTACCAAGAACAGGAGGCGGAGTGCTCTAGAATTATCGATCCGCCTTTCAAGTTGCTATCAATGATGATCCAGAAATGCAAGTCGTGGATTCTCTTTGGTGTCGTATGCACCTAAGACTTACTAGCAATAGTTTACCGCCCTCCAATGCCCACCTTGGAAATGGATCAGGGTCTACCTACTGCGATGAAGCGAATTCTGGCATGACCACACAATCACTTCCTTCTGACGGGAGACTTCAACCTTCACGTAAGCGAACTTGCAGCATCGCACAACAAACACTTCATAGCTGACTTACAACAGATCATTGCTCATGTACCTCTCTACAACGATGTCACTTCTCCCACACCATTTCGAACGCGTAACGCACCTTATGTTTTCGACTTTGTGCTCACCAACGAGGATGGTCGAGGCCGTGAGCAAATACACAAATTGGCCGTACCGATCAAGCGGTGTTGCTCTTTCGTTACATCTGTTAGTCGAAGAATATCAGTGAAAACGATGAAACCTTTGCCGTTACACACTACAATATCCTGTCCGACGTAGTTCAAGAAACCGACTGGTCCTTCCTGGCCGAGCAACCGCCCGATGTCGCCGGGTTGGTGTTAGTACCCCAATTCACCAAGATTGTAGAAAATCCGTCAGAAATCAAGGTCTTTCGCCCAAAGGAAGTGAACTCGTTGCTCAGGAGCCGTACTAAAAATCCATGGTCTGAAGGGTTCAGTCTGGCGCGCTTACAAACTGTCCAAGTAACCTAATCTGGGAAGTTTATACAACTCAAGGAAACCACTGCGTCAAGTTGATACTCGAAGACAAACTCCAGCATCAACAGAGCTTAGTGGCGAAATTCAGTACAACTCCCAATTTACTGTATATGCACGTCAACAAGCTCCTGTGGGTTCAGCGTGGAATCCTAGATTTTCGTGCAACAGATGGTCTGGCACAAACTATACGGTCAACATGCTTCGCCAAAACTTCATCCACACTTTCGAGTGAATCATCATCTCACCCGCTTTCGAAACAGCTCCCATCACCACCAGGGTTAAATCATTTATCGTTCAGGTCAGCCAATATGTTGAAAAGACTGATGTCATTGCGTGTGCACAGCACACCTGGCGTGAACGACATCAAACCGAAGGCATTGAAGACAGCAGTCATGACCATTGCCGAGCCAGTAGCTCCGTTCTTTCAATGTTTTCCCGATGAAATGCAGGTGCCCACAAAGTGGAAACATGGACAACTCACTCCTATGTATGAAAGTGGTTATCGTGCGGAGCCTTCGAATTACCGTCCAATCACTCTCCTCCCAGTGTTATCTAAAATAACGGAAGGTATAATCTCAGAGGCGCTCATGTGATGCCTTGAGAGCAGAAACATCATAGTGTCACAACACCTCCGATTCCGCCGAAATCGGTCTTGTACTACTGATTTGCTTTTAGCGCGAGCAAGCTGGACAGAATCAGCCGATGCTAGAGTGGGAGTCGACATTGTCTACCTGGACTTCTTTAAAGCGTGCGAGCGTTTAGATCACTGTATTCTCCTTCGAAGCTATGGAATCGGTGATCATGTACTCGGTTGGATCGGCAACTTCCTCATTCAACGTCTGCTGAATGTAAGAGTCCGAAGTTCCATTTCCGACCCAATTGAACTCCAGTGTGGCCTGCCCCGAGGATTCGTACTGGGGCCACGTTTATTCCTAGTATCCGTTAACGAACTTAACAGTGTACTCCCGTCGAATTACTTACTATTTTAGATCAGTTATGAGAAGTGCGGATTTTCATATAATTTCATCATCACAGTTCATCACAGTTCACTCTCAGTCAGTAGGCATTTGTAAAGCCTATTGATGTCAACCTCTGGTATGACATCAAGACGGCGGATGATCACATACCATTGCAGAGGGATCGCGACAGGCTTATACGCGGTCATCCGATAACCTGCTCCAGTTCAACGTGACGAAATGCAAAGTTGTGAGCGTATGCCATCAGCTTACCCATGAATATCGACTTGGGGACCAGCAGGTGCAACGTGCTTCCCAGAAAAGCTACCTCGGGGTGATCGTTCCGGACGATTTTGGCTGCTTGAGACCGACTGAAACCGCATCAAAAAGAGCCAGTCGACATCTTATACTCTTACAAAAGGCTTTCGAAAATTGCGAGCCATCATTCATTCCACAGATGCTAAACGCCTAGGTGAGACTTCACGTGAAATATGCGATCCAGGGTGGCATCCCGGTAGCAGGCGCAACGTTGATGCACTTGACGCCACATAACGTAGAGCAACCAAACTCGTTAGAGGATTATCTCATCTCCCACACCAGTGTAGACTTCAGTTCTGAGATTATACAGTGGTGAAAATCAACGTCAGCGAGACCTAATCCTGGTTTACTAAATGTTGAGGAACCCAGTGTCTCCATGTCGCAAGCTGCTGCAGCTATGCCAAAATACCAAGCTTAGAGCCTATCAGCTGAGACTGGCAATGCACTGCAGTCGCCTTGATTGTCGACGAGACATTTTCTCCCTCCGTATGTCCCGTGCCTGGAACGACCTCCGGACTCACCTCATCCTTGCCCCTACATTAACGCTTTTCAAAAGACGCCTTGGTGACAAGCCTTCCAACTTACATTACTTGATGTAGTCCGCAAACGCAAAGCAAACCATGTGCTTAGCGCCAATCTCCGCAACTTGGCTGTGAGAATACATGCATAAGTGTCCTTGTGAGTAGCATGGATGTACCTAAGCTGGATTAAACTACTGCATCGGTCAAATGAAGCAACACACGAGTGATCGTTGTCAATTCCCTGGGTTATTTCCCACCAAGTTCCTGAACTATAACTGTACTCTATACTATTTTGTGTGTGCAAATCCCATTTCCATTTCAAACCAGCCCTATGCATCACTGCATTGAAATCGGTGGACGCTTAAAATGATGATTTAGTTTTTCGTTGATCCTTCCGAGTTTAGTTTTTCCTCCAACCATCCCACGGGAATTGTCAAGTACATACCTTTTTACCCTTGATGAATCATTGTTCATTGGTTAAAAAGGGGGAATACCACATCCAAAGAAGTGTTACAAATTACAAAACATCAAAATCATAACGCTGACGATAACTCAGCCGTGGCATTAATCTATAACTGCCAATATCTTGATAATATACGTTAATCAGCTCGCTCGGTGGTCTGGAAGTTTTAGGCTAGTCTCACGATGGTGACCCATACCTGTTTGCGACTGCATCTTATGGTGCAAATATCACGTGATACTCACTCTTAAGGTCGCAGTTATCGTTTTCTAGCCGGAATGAGTGCTCCTCTGGCCAACCAACTGTTTTATCCTTGCTAAAAAGCTGCTTGAAGCTGACAGTGTGAATTGCAACGGTCGCGCTACCACTGAGACTACCACGTGCTTGCACGATCAATGAATGTTTGTAAGTCTGCTCTCAGACTAAAAATGTGCTTAGGTTGAATGGTTGTTTAATGTAGTTGGACTTCTATCACTTGTTGTTACCAACGTTTCGCCTGTGCAGGCGCATCACAGTAACCGCCTCGTAATTCATTCCGAGTTTCTTAGTTTAACCGTCTAGTTGTAGCAGATCCATAACACTCGTGCAACCCATTTTGAACCCATCTCAATATGTTGCTCGTCAGTGCATGTTCATTGTCGGCCTGGACTGGAGCGTTAATAATCACTCAAGTCCTCATGCATTATCGCGTCCTTGAACTCCTCTACCGGCACACACGTATATTGCAAACTGAAGGGTTAGACTGTCGCTTGCGTTGCTTTAAATAGTATCTGATGACAATTCTCTCAGCTGACTTTGTGACTAGTTGCACCTCAGTTGTCCGCTGCATCGGCTTAACATCGCCTCATTGCAGTCTGCATTTTAAGTACGGAATGCTTTTACACGCTGTGGTCTGGGTATTGTTGAAGTTAGTCTCTTAATTATTGTTCCATCCTTTTGTCAAATAGCATCGTGACCCTCTTCCGGCTTTGTATTATGCATTGTCCATGTGGTCGTACCTATTGCCCAAAAATTCACGACCATTGAGTCGGTCCTCTAGTGCCAGTTTCCTTGTGAACGGCTGCTCCAACATAACTGTGCAGCAGAAAGTATCCTCTAAAGTTGGATACTTGATGACGAGCATTGGTTACTGAGCTCTTCCAGTGAATGTTGGCGTAAATATCAAAACTCTTATTCTGGATCGGAATCAAACAGTATATCTATACATTTTTACATTCCCTCTTAACCCGCAATTGAGGATTGGTTCATGGATATACTCAGCCTACACCAATGAGTTCTTTTCATCTGCAGGTCAGACTCTGGTAGAGAAATGGTACAAAGAGGGTGAAACTTACAACTACCTAAGTGAACCGGATTCCGTCGAACACGTGGGTGAGTTTGTGTCGACATTATTGCTTTCCTCCGTTGCAACAATGAACAATGTGTTTTCCGAACAAGATTTGCAGTCTGCTTTAACTGGATGATTATTCGCTTCCATTATCGGATCACTTTGTCCCGATGACTGACTTGTACAATTTGCGTTTGCATAATGGGCCTTAGCTTATCAGATTAATGTCTACGATAGGAGTGTGTGTACAAGAGACTGCTAGTTAAAATCTATCATTTATTGGTCTCTGGAAAACAGCAGTGATCTCATAGACTTCCTATGATCATTCTAATTAAAAGAACTCACCACCCCACATGTTATTTATTATCGGCTGTGATTGTAGTTAGAGCCGCTGTTTACTGGCGCCACCAGTTTTTTTCATCCGGAAAACAAGAAACGGCCCAATCTATCATTCTGGCAATATGGACAAAATACGTGGACAGTTGGGTGGAACCCATGGATGAAATGTCGTTCTCAGCCCTGCTTTTCGCCGTGGACTTCACTGTGAACACTCACTATAACATCTCAGATGACTGGACATATCCTTTGCCGTGGCAGGTCGTGATGTTGTGGATAAAACAGTACTCAAATTGTATATGCTCTACGAATGTTCAAGTTTCAATTCAATTCAAGAAAGTACTTTATGCGCCCATAAGGGTGGATATTCCGCTGTTAGACACACGATGTCAGTATAGTAAAAGCAATGGATCAATAAATGCACAAGTAGAGTGGTAAGTGGCATGAGCAGCAGTGTGATTACGATACGAAGTTATTTTTAACCTCCAGGACAACTGACGCCTGGTCGTACATAAAACCTGCCAGTTGTAGAATAACGGATGAGTGCTAAGCTCTTGTGCGGGCAAAAATGGATCTCTACTTTTGTCTAGTTGACGATGTTCATACACACTCAGACAGTGCACCATGAAGAGCGTGACTTGTATCAGTAAGCATCCTCTAAGTAAGCCTCATGTACGAATTAATGTGAGTGGACAAAAGAATCTTAACAAAGCTCGGCTTGGGAATTCCAATACACCGAGGTAATTACGTCGGTGACTTACACAGGATTTTGAACTGCTTCCTTAGGAAACCAGGAAATAGCACTGTGAAGCACTAGGTTCAAACGGGTAAAACACATATGGTGATACATCTAATTAAGTGGCGGGAGGCAGAGGAGGCTCGCAAACGAAAGGGGGTAGAACGGAAGTCTCCTCAGCTTTGTAAAAACGCCATTAACATGGAGTGACCAGGACTGATGACGACTGGGTTACACCTAGGTACTTCACTAACATTTTGGAGTGCAAATTCTCGCCATCTCTGTAAAGTTCGGTCATTCCTTGAGGAGTTGCTGATAACCATGACCTGTATGTAGGGCGAAAATGACGTTATTGCATTTTGATGCATTCAGCGCTGAAACATGTACTCTGGACTACAATACAAGGCTGTCTAGATAGGCATGTAATTTAGTTGATGTGGCTGCGGTCGGTTGTTGCATACCCAAGACGACGTCGTCTGCATATTTCAGCAATACCACATCGGCATGGGCAGGTAAAGTGGCGACGCAGGGAGAAAAGACGTAAGGAGATAGTATGGCCCCGTGAAGAACTCCAGTGTCTGTGGTGCGCAGCGAAGAAGTTTTACCCCGAGTCGAGTAAACCGAACACGTCTGGTGAAGTAGTCTCCCAAAAGGTGGGCATTAGAGGGATTCCGACATCTGACTGAGTCCGATTCAGCAACTTTTCAAGAATAATCTTCGCATGTGTATTCAAGCTTATCGAGGTACACGCAACTGGTCGGTATTTATCTGAGGCTTTCTTTAGCACCGGTGTAATTCTAGCCATACTCCAGCAGTCAACAATATCACACCGTTCCATGCACAATGTGTATAGATCAGCAAAAGGCTAAGCCAAGGAATCGACACACACTTTGAGAACAACGGGTAATAGTCCGTCCGGACCACTTGTTTGTTGGAGTTTAGCTGCAGTATTTTATTGCGCACTGTATTTCTGTCAAAAGCAGGTAACTAGGTTGTGGTCCGATCCAATCGTGCGGAATTAGATGGTGGACTTAGCTTTGAGGCAACAGAACTTTCGATGCAGTTCTTCCCGATCTGCAACTGAATTTGACACTCGGTTAGAGACTCCACCTAGTTGTTTCAGGATGCACCAGAGATCCGGCAGCTTCTATTTCTCCAGTATGTTCTGAACATATAGGTGGTTTAGACGGCGCAACTCAGTTTTGATAGATAAAAAGATTTCACCGCGGTGTGGTCTTTCGTTTTGAACGCTTTCTCTTTGATACTACGCAAACATTTTAGGTCTGGAGATGAAAACTAATCGGCACGCATGAAAATGGTTTCCAGTAGATAGCTGGCATCAAACAGCAGTTGATGTAGCTCGTTAAATGCTCGAAGTATTGGGATACATCATTGTCAAAAAATTTACTAAACTCCGAGGAGGAAATTCTTTCCTGGAGTAGATACATGTTCTCTTTTAAGCCTGTTCTCTTTACAACGAGTAATATCCCTATGATTTCCTATGCTGTACACGATCGTAGATAACTGGATATTTGAATTTTCCGAACTGCCAGTCTGTGCCTGATTGTGCACAAAAAACAGCTTTGCATTGTTAACAAATATAAGGTCTATAGTTGTTTCAAGTTTACAAAATTTTGCAGCCAGTGGTCTGGGATAAGTGACGTCAAAGCTTTTGAAAATACCAGCAAAGATGCAAGGAGAATCAATGTGCTTGATGACAGGTAGTGAATTGATCGTAAATTCCTCGGGCTTAGAGGCGCGACAACTGGGGCAATGCAGATATTTGGAAGCAAAAGCTATTAGTGGTCATATGAAGATCTTGGTTTGCATTTCAACATCAAACAGTTAAAATACGAAGAGAAGAACAACGAAAGTAGCTTTTTGTTGGCGTGCACAATACAGGATTGACATAAGCGATAACACCTCCGCCGCGACTCTTGCATGTAGTTGACCGGTCGACACGAAGACAAAGGAATCTGGACCGCTACAACCTCATCGTCAACATCTTCATGGAGCAAAGTCGCTTGAAGCCTACTTATGCCAAGTTTCGAGTATTCACTACAGCGCATTTTGCATTTAACCTGGTCAATTTTACTCATAATTGATCATACCTTTGAGCTTATTATAATGGGTATATTCATACTCCGCAGTGTTTTCTTTCTTAAAGCAACCCTCCGTCAAACAGGATGCTGTTTAATAGAAGTATTGTGTTTCTTGTAGATTTGATTTACTGCTTTTACTGCTTGACCGTGAAAAATCGTGATGTTCAGTGGAGTAGAAACGCATAAGGATTTTAAAATATTGCGAGGATAGTTCATCCTTGCCTTGAAGGTTGTATCGATTAGTTAGAAAAATGGCAAATGCAAAAGTTGCCGAATGTCTGAGTGTAATTAATGTTGCAGATGAAACAAAAGAGAGCGGCCAAGATTAAAGGCCACGGCAGGTCTAGCTCAACAGTGGATAAGTAAATAAATTCGTGGTAGCAATAGAGGTATTACACAGCAAACTAATGGAATATATTTGTCTGCAACCGACAATTCCGAAAATGAGTAGTAAGGGGAGTTGAATGGTATGGATGGACATTCATCACATCTGGGCTCAGTCAGGAAGCCATCCCAGGCACAGAACAGCACTGTACGGTCGTTTCCTCCTTTCGGGGAACGTCAGCATTACGCATTCCATCCAACCCTTATAGTCCTCGGGTCCTCAGTTTGCCGGTTGTCAGTCCGTGGTTGAGACCACTGAGCTATGGAAGACGGCAATGACTGTCGTGACTAAGTTATTAGATGTGATGTAGCGCCGCTACCATGGCACATTCCACTTGATGAATAGTTGGGGCCGTCCGTACGAAAACACTACTCCAGCACCGGTTTCGAAACTATTCGCTCTCAATAGAGTAGTTGAGGGAGTTGAATAGTGTAAGTAGACGTTCATCACAGCTGCACTCAGTTAGATAACCGCACGCTTCCGAAAAAGCACTATAGATCTGCAGGGTTTCGATGTTGCTCTCTTCAATCCATGCACTCTACTACCTACCGGTTTCGTCCTGATTTGGACTCATCAGGAAGAGATAGCCTGAGTTGGCAGTGTAACTCGGCACATGTTGGTTGGCGCCTATTGCCATGATCCCTAAACCACTAAGCTCCGAGAGCAGAGCTTGACGCCGCGGTTAACATTTGAATGTTCGGTTTTTGGAGTACCCATCGTGCGGCTTGAATTGGTACACGCATGTAGAGCTGGTTCATCCTTCAAGAATTGTCAGCAATGTGCGTTTTAGTTGGAACTAAAACCCACAACATTACTGTTACCAGTCCGAGGTGAAGAACACTGGTGGGTTTGGGTACTCCCTTATAATCAGTGCGCAAATCAAATTGCTTATAATGCCAAAAGTTACTTAGCGGCTAAACTTTGGTATATTCGTCGCTATATAAAGGTTCAACGCTGCCCTGTGCATGGCAGTAACGTGCAAGTTACTGGAAGGTGAGGGAGGCTATATTACATCTAGTGACTTAGTCACGTGGGTCGTTGCCTCCCCTGTAGCTAAGTGATCTCAACCACGGACTGTTAACAGTGGAGTTGCGAGTTCAAGCCCTACAAGAGGCAGATGAAATCCACACTGCTGACCATTCCCGAAAGGATGAAACGCCCGTAAAGTACTTGTCCGAGCTTCTGATAGCAGTCCGACTAAGCTTAGGTATGATGAATTTCTACCTAAGCTCCGCAAATGCTACAACCGAACTCATTACCTTCAGTATCGGAGCGACAATTCCCCTCAGTATACTCTGATGGTGAGTTGATTTGGGCTATGTTAACGCATATCAATTTCATGTGTGTATGGTCAGACAGGCGGATATTTAACCGATCTTCGGCTCAGAGGATCTATAATAGTACAATCATGTTCACCAACAACCGACCAACTGATGGAGCGTGAAGTGGACATGATAGTCGGCGGCTTCCCAGCTGCTAGTCCTG